CCAACCTTCCCCCTTCGTCCAACGAAGACCAAGTCTTCTAGCCTCATCCTCGGTCACAAAATTGTGTGTGGCACCTGTATCCACCAAAGCTTGTGTATGCTTACCGTTCACCAATGCTTCGACGTACATCAACCCCTTGTTCGTCGTTGTTGGCATTTTTTTGGCGCTAAGGGCAGTGAGGAGTTGCAGTGATCCCATCCTAGCTGTCTCCTCTTCCTCGTCCTCGTGGGTCTTGGCCTCATGTTGTTCCACCATGGCCGAAAGTGATCCAAGTTTCGGTAGAGTGCTTAATTAGGCACTTTCGGCCACTTGGTGGCTGCACCTTTAGGTGTTGAAAACTTAAGCATTTGGTGCTTTGGTAATAGCAATAAAGGTGCTAGATTATGATTGGTTTTAATGCTCATTTACTTAGCTTAAACCTTTCGTATGTGGCTAATTAAATTTAGCATTGTAAAAGTGTTATGTGATTAGTACGAAAGGAGGTTTGGTTAATTGTGTAATTAACTAATAATCCTAGTGCTAAGTAGCACTGGAATTATAAATTAAGCAACCGAATGTTGCTGTAAGTTTATAATTTAAAGCAATAGAGATTGCTTTGGTGTCAGTGCGTTAGTTTAGAAGCAATGATTCGTGCTTCATTACTAAGCACTGATTCGTGCTTCAATTTTGGAAGCACTGGTTCGGGTTTGTGGCCTTTCGGTCAATCCCGAATAGATTCGTAAGTGTTGATCTGTTCGCACCTACGAGATGTGCTAACGTGTAGCACATATTTATTCTTTATAAGAATAAAAGGATAACCAAATTAATTGTGGATTAATGCGGTTACTAACTATTGATGTAGTGAATATGAAACACCCATTGGTGATTTCGCCGCAAGCGTTGGTATCGTACTCGAGCGTACGACACGGTATTCACCTCAATCAAACGTTGTTGCCGAACATAAATATCAAGATGTTGATAAGTTCGGGTTTACCTCAAGGTATGTGGGGTGAGACGATACTTTGGACAAGTCAGTACCTTTTAAATAAGGTTGCCCGCATGAAATTCTTACGAATTGTGGATACGTAAGAGGTTTTCCTACTAATGCCTGAAATGTGGGGGTGTCTTGCCAAAGGTGTGTATTGGTTCTTAGTACACGAGTCCTATAGTTTGGATGTACATAAGAACACAATAAATTGAATCAAGAAATTCATAGTTCTTCGAAGATGTATTTTTGTGACGGATCAATAAAGGACCTAGCACGTTGAAAGGAACTTTCGGCGTAGCTATGGTTGAAGGGTGTGAAAGAGAACCCGAGCTCGAAGCTAGACGTAGCAAGAGAGCTAGGATTGAAAAATCCTTTGGTCCAGATTTTCTGACGTACATGATAGAGTGTGACGCGCACAATCTAACTTGTTTACTAGAAAATAAATTGGATTTTCTGACATGGTTGTTAGAAAACGAGCCTCGAACGTATGTAGAAGCGTTGACTTCTACAAGTGGACCAACCCGAGTGAGGCTATCGAAAGTGAAGTAGATTCTATCTTAAAGAATCATACTTGGAACTGGTTGTTCTTCCTCCAGGTTGTAAAACCTCAGGATCCTAAGTAGATCACTAGTCGGAAAACAGAACCGGTTGGTTATATTGAAGTAAAATGGCCGGGCTTGTAATTGTAGATTACATGCAACGTGAGTGCCACGGTTACTTCGATATATATTCTCTTGTGACGAGAATGGAATCCATTAGGATGATACTTGCCAAAGCTGTTTAGCTAGACTTGGAAGTTCATCGAAATGGATGTATCTTCTTCTTAGTAAACATGGAACGACCCAAGGGTTTTGTGGTTCCACGCTATGAAAAGAAAGTGTGTAAGTTGGTGAGATCAGTGTATGGTTCGAAATGATTGCCTTAGTAATTGGCATGTGAGGTTTTGATCATGCAGTGATGACCAACGAGTTTAGTATAAATAAAAGTGACAAGGTCTATGTAACATATACGATAGACGGTGATATCACTGCTTGTTTATACACGATGAACTCATCATAGGTAGTAACGATCACATGATCAATTCTACTAGGGTTATGTTAAATTTGAGATTTGACATGAGACGAGTGAGTTTGGCAGATTTAATCTTCGAGATTGAAATCGTGGGAAGACCATATATATGGTCTCGTGTTAGCCAATCTCACCGAGTTGATTGAATCCTTGTAAAGGAATGATAATCAAGTGGCTTGGACACCGTTAGATACTAACGTACAACTAGCCAATAATCACGGAGATTATACTTCTCACAGAGAATACATTCAGATTATCGGTAGTTTAATTGTATCAAATGGGTTGTACTAAGCCGAATATTGCCTTAGCGGTCAACGAACTCGGTAGACATACGAGTAACCCTAGTGTTGCGCACTAGAAAGCAATAGCATGAGTTATGAGATACTTAAGGTATGCTCGTATTCTAGACTGCACTACGTGGGATATCTAACTGTACTTGGAAAGTATAGCACGGATATCAAAGGACGCTAAGTCCATTAAAGGCTACGTCTTTACGTAGGCCAGTGCAGTCGGTTGGACGGAAATTCTCGAAATGAATTTGTGATAGCTAAGATCCGACGGGATCAAAGCTGAGAGCCTTACACTCATGTTGCGAGCGAGTAGGCCGAATGGCTATGCCATTTTTCGGGAATGTTCCTAGTGGTAAACTCGTACCTCCAATTTGTGTGCATTGCGATGGTCAAGCCAAAATTGGTTAAGTACAGAGTTAGATGTAGAATGGTAAGTCTAGACTTATAAGTCGTTGACATAATACCATTAAACAATTTCTCACAACAGGTGTTATCTCTATTGACTACGTGATGTCAAAAGATAACGTAGCGGCCGCTAACTCGCTAACCCGAGGGTAAGCAAATGGTTGTTGAGAAGTTGGAACGAGGAATGGGTCTAAAGCCCTTGGACTAAAAGTTCTATAGTGGATACCCAACCTAGCGGACACCTAGGTTCAATGGGACAACTAAATTATAGAACGGAGCATGTCATTGTGAGGGTCTCGGACTCCCTACCACTCCTCGTTAGAAACAGTGACTCCCGCGCAAGGTTAGCATGTCGATACTTTAATGATTCGAATGTCGGTTGACATGTGTGAGTATGCGGGATACTCAGAAAAGAATCACCTATGTGAGAGAGAAGTGAGGGTCGCTTCAAAGGAGAATTGATGGGCACAATTCTTCACAAACTCTTGCAGAACCAGGACGGTGACCCACGACCAAAAAGGGCACACTCATGAGAACAGAGCACGGTTGGGAGGTTCCTGTGTGAGATATGTCATCGTCTACACAAACGGCAGTCGGTTCAAAGACATCGCGTTCTACCGTACAGCTAGTAGAATAAACATGTCTTCACAAGGGAAGGTTCAAAGGGTATAGTGATCCCTACCTATCCTATGCAGGGATCGACCATTGAGCACAGTTGGTTCCGATTCCAAAATACCCTTAAAATCAATTTTTCATTCATGTGGGGGATTGTTAGAAAAAATAGCTTAAAATGGCATAAAATGACATTTTAAGTGGCTATTTTGTGGTACAATTATCAGTGGGGTCCACTTCCGATTTGGGTCGGGTCAAAGTGGATTCGGGTTCTTCGTAGTGAGACGAAGAGATTGATATATTGTACGCTCAAAACGGATAATGGGTGAATGAGATATTGATTCTCAAAGTAGACTCATTGAGTTGGAAAAATGAAGGGAAAAGTGAGCTTTGTCCCACATTGATTTGGAAAGAGGATTTCACCCGGGGGGGGGGGGGGGGGGGGGTTGCAAATCAAATTCCAACTAGAAACGAGATCGGAAAGGCTTGATTCAAGCCCGAGCTCGTGTGCGCCGGCACTTGCGGGCACGAATGTCGTCGCTGGCCTTGCGGGTTAAGTAATGCCAACTTTCGGTGGTTTGAGTCAAGCCTGAGCTCGTGTGCGCCAGCACTTGCGGGCACGAATGTCGTCCAGAAATTGGCTGGCCTTGCGGGTTAAGTTATGCCAACTTTCGATGGTTTGATTCAAGTCCGAGCTCGTGTGCGCCGACACTTCGGGTTAAGTTATGCCAACTTTCGGTGGTTTGATTCAAGCCCGAGCTCGTGTGCGCCGGCACTTGCGGGCACGAATGTCGTCTAGAAATTGGCTGGCCTTGCGGGTTAAGTTATGCCAACTTTCGGTATCAGTTTTCCAAACTCTAGCAGCACGAGAGCTGCTCGTGCGTTGGCCCAGACCAAGCAGCACGAGAGCTGCTCGTGTGCTGGCCGAGACCAAGCAGCACGAGAGCTGCTCGTGCGCTGGCCGAGACCAGACCAAGCAGCATGAGAGCTGCTCGTGCGCTGGCCCAAACCAAGCAGCATGAGAGCTGCTCGTGCGCTGGCCCAAACCAAGCAGCACGAGAGCTGCTCGTGCGCTGGCCCAGACCAAGCAGCACAAGAGTTGCTCTCGTGCGCTGCGGCTAAACAGCACTTCGGTCTACCAGAGTTGTTTCTGGACAGTTGGAGATTTAATTCATCCGCTACAGGAATTAATCTCTGTATTAATTCATTTTGAATTTTGAATTAAATATGCACTAAAGGCTAGCTGTTTCAGATGTTACCAACGTGCCATGAATGCCTACTAAATGCTATTTAGTACTCCAATTCCTATATAAGAAGAGGTAGTAGGAACAAGTGATTTGCAACAAGAGAGGGAAGAACACGAGAGTACACAACACACAAAGATAAGCACCTTTTTTTTTCTCAAAAACTCTGCTCCTACTCCTTTCTTGCTACTGTGTTTTGCCCGTGCTCTAGTTCGCCTGGTTCGCTCGTTTGGGTGCTCAAACATCGAACCGTTGTACGTTTTATCCTGGGAAACCTAGGACACAACGCTCCTAGCACTTTTGGGAGGTGGCAAATAAGGTTTTAAGGAAAGAAAGGCACTCGCCTAACTCGCACACTTCTTTCTTCTTCTCCTTCTTTCTTGTTTTTTTTTTTGAAAGGAGCCTGTGCGGCATTTATTCAAAATATGCTGAAATAGCAGCTGGTGGACTTGAGTCCGCATACATAATTGTCGTCTGAGTAGAGGTAATAGATGCTAGAGTATGAGCTAAATAATTATCTAATCTAGGAACGTATCGAATTAAACAGTTCTCAAAAACCAATATACTAGTCCTGCAGCTATCAATAGCATAGCCCAGATAAGACCGTGGTGATCGAGTCGTAGATGATAGATATTGTTGTAGTACTAAACAATCTGTGAAGAGCTGGATAGAGTCTATACCGCGGTTTCTCAACCATGACAAAACTTCTTTGCACGCTAGAGCCTCCGCCATTAAAGGTGTAAAACAATCTGACATAGGGGTGGTCATTGCGGCAATATACCCTCCTTGCGCATCTAGAATAATTGCACCCGCTGCCGCCTTGCTCGTTCGTGGGTCGTATGCCGCGTCGAAGTAGCACATTAGGGGAGTCCCGTAAGGCACATTCGGCTGCTGTTGCTGTCCGTGTGGCTGCATTATACTGCTGCTCAAAGGCAGCACAGTTTCTGCCGGTTCGGCAGTGAGACCTACGGCATTTTGTTGCCGTATGGTTGGGGCTTCTACTTGCTCCATCACGGCCGCATTTACTCGCGGGTGTGTATGTGTCGGGTGCACAATTTTCCAAGAGTGTACAGCTGAAGACGCCATTGCAATTACCTTCTGAGGCCTGGGCAAACATGCGTCCCACACAGCCCCATTCCTTGCACACCAAGTGTAGTATAGAATTGCCACTGCATAAATAATCTCATTATCACCTAAAACATTCATCAAATCATTAATCCAATCACTGAAAACATTTGTGACACTATTGGGGATTGGAAGGTGAGATTGTATCCAAATATTTGTTGTATAGCCACATGTGATCAAAGAATGCACAATATCCTCATGTGAAGCCCCACACATAGCACATGTTGGATCAATATCCACTCTCTTTATAAGTAGATTGTTTGTGGTGGGTAAAATATCATTTAGAGCTCTCCATATAAATGTCTTCCACTTCGGTGGGATTTTGAGTTTCTATAAAACCTTCCATTTATCAAAGGTCCCTAGTGGTTGGGAGTAATTGCCCACTAGTTTCCTATACCCATTCTTGACAGAATATTCACCATTTGGATCTCCATACCAGTACCACAAATCATCATACCTAGGTGATACAGGTATTTTTTTAATTCGTTCCACATCCTCCGGTATGAAAATATCTGTTAGAATATCCGGATCCCAGGTTCCAGTCTGTTGATCCATTAAACCCATCACTTTTGCTTGTGCCAATTGGGGTGGTTTTTCTGTTCGTATTCTCGGGTAGTTTTCATCATGCAATCATGGGTGGTCCCAAATCAACGTTGTTTCACCATTCCCAATTCTCATCCTCACACCCCCACAAATTAACTCCTGAGCCACCAAAATACTCCGCCAGCAAAAACTCGGGTTATTACCCAAACATGCATCATAGAAAGAATTAGCGGGATAGTACCTGGCCTTATAAACTCTCGACACTAAAGATCGCGGCTGTGTCAGAAAATGCCACCCTTGCTTCCCAAGCATAGCAAGATTAAAGGCATGTAAGTCCTTAAATCCCAAACCTCCATACTTCTTCGGAATACATAGTCTATCCCATGCCTTCCAATGTATACCTTGGTCATTCTTGGACCTCCACGAATATCGATTCATGGTTCGCTCAATAGCGGTGCATAAGGTCATAGGCAGCAAAAAAACACTCATTGAAAAGGTAGGCATTGACTGGGCCACACTTTTCAATAAAATTTCATTTCGTGCTTGTGATATCAATTTCTTATTCCATGAGCTGATCCTCTGTCTTATTTTATCCTCAATATAAGAAAATGCAGCCCTCCTATTTCTGCCTACAAACGATGGAAGTCCCAAATACTTCCCAAAATTCTGAGCCTGCACCACCCCCAATATATTGGCAACCTCATCCCTTATCTCTCCACGTGTATTCTTACTATAACAAATATTTGACTTATGATAATTGACTGCCTGTCCAGAAATCTTCTCATATTCTTATAAACATCGCTTAATTACTTCTGCCTCTTGCACATTTGCCTTGAAAAAAAGTAAACTATCATCGGCAAAGAAAAGATGGGTAATAGAAGGTGCACCTCTTGCAACCCTACAGCCATGTATTTCTCCTTTTGCCTGCGCCTGCTGCAATAATAGTGAGAGCCCTTCAGCACAAATAATGAATAAATATGGTGAAAGGGGATCACCTTGTCTCAAACCACGAGTTGGCATTATCTGTTCACTCTGTGTCCCATTTACTAATACATTATAAGATACTGTGGTTACACACATCATCAGTAATTCCACCCATCTTTCATCAAACCCTAAGGCCATTAACATTCTTTGTAAAAAGGACCATTCCATACGATCGTAGGCTTTGGCCATATCCAGCTTCAAAGCTCCCCAACCCATGAGTCCACATTGTTTCCTGTTCAAATAATGGCCTACTTCTGCTGCTATCAATATATTATCTGTTATCAATCTCCCAGCTATGAATGCACTTTGTGACTCAGATATGACACTTTCCATCAAAGGTTTCATTCTAACTGTAATAACTTTGGCCATAATTCTGTACACCACATTACTCAATGCAATTGGCCTATAATCAGAAATCATCTCTGGGGTTTTCTTCTTCAGAATCAATATAATATTTGTCTCATTCAATTTACTCGGAAACGAATTAGTATTGAGACAGTTAACAATATAAGCAGAAATATTAGTACCCACCACATCCTAGAAGTGCTGATAAAAACCAGGGTTCATCCCATCCGGTCCTGGTGCCTTATCAGGAAACATTGAAAACAATGCTGATTTAATTTCACTTTCTTCAAAAGGGCGCAACAGGCCCTCATTCTGCGCAGCTGTCACACGCGGTTGTATGCTCTCAAAGAAATTGTCATTAATAACAGGAGAATTCGACTCAAAGATATCACGATAATAATGCAAGATACTATTCCTCATGGCATCTCTCTCAATCCAATCCCCATTACTATTCATAATTTTCATAATATAATTCTTTTTCTTTCGGTGAGTAGCGTACCTGTGATAAAACTTGGTGTTTGCATCCGCGTTCTTAAGCCAATGTTGCTTGGCCCTCTGTCTCCAGTATGTATCCTCCTGCAACTCAATACTGGTCAGACAGTCCTCTATCCTTTGAAATTCAGCTAGAGACCCCGGGTATGTACGCCCTCTAACGCGCATCTGCTCTTTCCTCAAGTTCCGTATTCTCTCACCGAATTTGTGAAAACGGTCTCCACCCCAGCGTGTTAATCGTTCACCACAAAACGTGACACATTCCTGCAGCCCCCTACTCCTTCCGTCCTCCCAGGCCTTTTCTACCACACCCCTACATCCTTCATCATGTAACCATGCCATCTCAAATCTAAAACCCCTTCTTAGACCACCTCCCCTTTCCCGAAGATTGAGAATCCCAAGGAAAAGAGCAGAATGATCCGATTTCCGGGTCAATATATTAAGCACACTAGCATCAGGTACAAGATCCCTCCATCCCTGCGTGGTCAGGACCTTATCCAATCGTTCCTCTATCCAGTTTGGTGTACCCTTCCCCTTCTGCCAAGTAAACGGATATCCTGTCATGGGCATCTGCGCCAATCCACATTCCTCGATAGTCTCACCAAACCCTCGCAATAAAGCATCAGGATGCGGATTACCTCCCCGTTTCTCATATTGAAATAAGAGATCATTAAAATCTCCTATCATAACCCACGGTAGGTCAGATTTATTTGCCAGTGTACGAATAAGGTCCCACGATTCCCTTCTCTGCGGACGCTTTGAAAAGCCGTAGAAACCTGTCATCCTCCACTTTTCAAATCCGGGCATACTCACCTCCACGTCTACATAATTATCAGAATAACTCAACAACCTCGCCGTATTATTCGTCCTCCACAATAATGCTAAACCTCCACTCAATCCAGAATTATCAACATTAAACAAACCATCAAATCCAAGTTTAATCCGGAGTCGCTCAGCATGATCCCGGTTAACCTTGGTCTCCATCAGAAATACAAAATCGGGTTTCTTGCGGGACACCATGTCCTCAATCTCCCGAACTGTCCGTGGATTACCCAAGCCACGACAGTTCCAGCTCAATGTACTCATTGGGTCGGGCGGGTCTGCACCGCAGCACCCGCCATCTGCAAGTTTTTTTGAACCTCTGTCATTGCAACATCCTCCTCCATCACCGGTCTCTCACCCACCCGACTTCCCCTACCATTCGGCTCCCCCAACCCCATACCATCCGAATCCACACACACCCCTTCATCCACTCCATCCCCTAATCCACCGTCCGTGCGTCGTCTTTTTGGGTCCACTCTCACCCCCTCCTCCTCCCTAGCTAACTCCTTCTCCCACACCAAGCCCAAGTTTCCACCATCCCTCTCGGCTTGTCCCCTAATCTCCACTACCCGTTCCCTCATTCCAGTCATAGGCTGCCCACCAACCGCCGCAATCCCCCGACCGTATCCACCCCCAAAACCTATTTCTTTCCGTCTCTCTTGGCCCAGCTTGAACCACTTGTCCCCCAAAACCCGTGTCGGGTTATTCCCTCCCGCCCTTAAAGCCGTACCAAAGGGGTACTGTTCCGGAGATAACAAAGAACGTCTTGCCGCTAAACAGAACTTATCATTATGCCTAGGGGTGTAAATGAGCCGAGCCGCTCGTGAGCGGCTCGGTCAACGCTCGGCTCGAGCTCGGTCAAAATCGAGCTCGAGCCGAGCTCGAGCGGCTCGTCAAATAAACGAGCACGAGCCGAGCCTAGATACTCTAGGCTCGTGGCTCGTCGAGCCGGCTCGCGAGCCGTATAATATACAATATAATATATAATATTATATAATTAAAATATATAAAAATAATAATTAAAATTTAAAACTCAAAAGTCAAAACTTAAAAGCCCTATTGTTTTGAACATATCCGGGACGAAATATATATGTACAAGGAATCAAGGACTACTACTGTTGACTTGTGTTTTGTTGTGATTTGCAAACTTATTTTGAATGTTTTGAAGTTTGAACAAACAGACTTGTGTCTTCACTATCTTTTACTTCGTTGCGAAATTATTTTGAGTGTTTTGATTTGAAGTTTGTATTATTTATGTATGGATAAAACAGAGCAGTTTAAATTTTAAATCAAATAGGTTAAACCGTCAAATTCAAGGTTAAGATCGAGCACGCATTTGAACCCGAGCTCGAGCCTGATCTCGAGCTCGAATTCGAGCTCAAAATCAAGCTCGAACTCGAGCTCAAGATCGAGTTCGAGCTCGAGCAGCTCGATAATTGCCGAGCTCGAGCTCGAGCATCCAGTTACGAGCTCGAGCTCGAGCATAGCTGCATTTAACGAGCTCGAGCTCGAGCATACCCATGCTCGAGCTCGGCTCGACTCGTTTACACCCCTAAGTATGCCCCATGATACCACAAAAGAAACAAAACATATGCAGCCGCTCGTATTTGAAATTAACCTATGTCCATGTCCCATCCCGCATGATCATCTTCATACGACGCTTAAGTGGATTGGTTACATCATGTGTTATCCTTACCCGATAAAACGAGGTCCACGGTCTCTCAAAATTACGTTCATCATAGCGTAAGAACACCCCTGCAAAATCCCCAATTCGCTCAAGTACCTTAACTGTCCGGTAGCCCAAAGGAATATCATAAACTTGTAACCAGAAGTCCACCGTATTCAAGACCACTTGCTCCGGATCCTGTCCATCATTCAAGACTTGGCAAAGAAACGTAGCATTCTCGAACGCCCACGGCCCCTCCTCCACCACGCAGCGCATGTCTGCCTCGTCAAAAAAAGTGAAGAGATACAAGTTTGGAAGCACATCTGTTATCTCTATTCCCATGAGGGGACGCCAAGCCGAGGCCATTACTCTTTTCATCATATCAACCTTCAAGATTCGATCCGTGAGAAACCTCCCGACAATCGTCCACGTCCGGCGTTCCTGCGGCTGCGGACCGACGCCATACCCGTCATCCTCAAACCGTACGCCCTCCTCCTCATCTTCCAAGCTGATATCCGCCGTGGAGTCAATAATTCGCTGAACATCCATGGCTTTCGCACTCTTGTCCGTTGCCGAACTCGAAGAAAGCTGTCGTAACCCTAGATCGCAGGGAGCTTATTGCAGAAAACCCTAGTCGCAGGGAGAGAGTTAACATAGACTATATATTCTTTCCTTCTTTCTTGTTTTGGATTATGCTCTAAGCAAAAATCCT